CCAGAAAAGTTGGTTGGAGGTGTGTGGCCCACTTCCCAAAATCGTTACCCTATTTATGACCAAAATCTGCGATTTTTGCTACCCTATTTATGACCTGGCAAAAAATTGATACCCTATTTATGACCGTTGCCGCTGGCACAGTTGCCCTAAACATAAGTTATGAAGGGTTTTTGTCGCTGGTCTTATTGATAATGATGAAAGAGTAGCTTCTTCTAAGAAACATTCCCAATTCAAGACTAGAATGCTAAAACCATACCCTATTTAAGACCAAAATGGCCAACATCGATACCCTATTTATGACAAAAACGGCTGAAAAGCCATCCCCTTTGGGGCCGCACATACCTATATAGCCCATATAAGCGAGTGGCCCCGGGCGTGAAAAGCTTTTATGAAGATCGAGTTATTGCCTTCGCCGACCGCACAGAGAGCTGGGGAATGGAAGGAGTTTTATAGGGTGTTATACCTTATTCGACTTATTCAGTTGCGTACGTCTGACGGAATAAAGATTAATTTTTTTAAATTCCATTTCCATACAAGCCGTTTTATCTGCACTCCTCATTTTCTACACAATGCATTTCCGATACTCTGGCTGCAATTTCTACACTCCACACTCCGCACTCCGCGGTTTTCACCTAACCGACCAGGTTCAATTGGTTTGCCAGTCCCGCCAGTTAGGATTCTTAAGCCTACTATGTTTAGTTGATATATTTGTTTCTGCCAGTTTAAGAGGCATGCCTGTGAACTAACTAGCTGTAGCTAAGCCCATTGACCACTATAAACAACAACATTTGAACATTTTAAATTTTTTTTGCAAACTGCAACTTAGGCTAGAAAAGATGGCTTAGCGAGGCAGAGCTCGAAACGCGATACACGTGCGGGCGCGGAGTGCGATCGACGCCTCGCTCTCGTGTATTAAGTTCCGAGCTCTGTCTCGCTAACCCGCCTGTCCTGCGATGGATCACTTTGCTTTTTCCCGTTGTTACTTTTTTCTGGCCTTCTACGCAGACGTTCTTTGGGCTCGTCACGCAATCTTTCTCCCCTACGAAAATAGGAGGCCAACTTTTTTCCCGCAAAAATTTAGAACAAAAACGGTTTTAGAAGGTTGAAATTTTTGCTCGGCGCAGCGTCAAAGCTTGCTCTTCGAACTTCTTGTTTACCTATAGCATGATCTCAAACGCTTTTTAAGTTTTATGACATTTGCAGAAACGTTTAAAATTATTTATCTGGCAGAACCATTGATACAGATTTCGTTTGCTATAAGAATATGTTTTGTAAGAATATCGAGGCTGAAATTTGCGAAATTCTAAGAATATTTTAAGAATAAACTCCAGGTTCGGACTTGAAAAGAATATAATATGTGTTCAAAATTTGTAAATTCAATACAATAATACGTTTTTAACTCAACCGTATAAAATTCTTCCTTTCTCCAAACGGCAAAACTAGCCAAGAAGCAACAAAAACAGCACTAGTCGTTTGTTCGATGCCAATAATCATTTCTGCAAGTTATGTGCGTGATATCAGGCTATAATGCCTGCAGACTGGCTCCAAAATTGCTTCTACACCATCCAGACACCAAATACATTCGAAAACCAATATGTCATATGCTATAAGAATATTCACAAGAATATTTTCAGCCTAAAATCGGCAGAAAATAAGAATATTCAGCCTCGGCCAGAAAAAGAAAAATATTCTTATAAAAAAAATAACGAGTGTACAAAACATGACAAAAACAGTTTGTGTTCCTTGGCGCTTACTCATTATTTGCAGGTAACAACACCTGCACACCATGCAAATAACCTGCGACAGATACGTCGTTCTGTACGCCATCTTTGCAGTCTTTGATGTCCCAAGCTGCGCGCGCTAAGGATATAAATTTTTCAATTAAGGTTCGCGCGTACATATAGCCGTGGTGAGTGAGCCACCAATTATAACGGCCTAATGAGGTTATATATTGTGCGTGGCTAATGTTTGTTCTATGGTAAGTTCTATTTTTTTATTGCCCTTGGGAAGCAAAATCAACTGTTTTCCTCTGGGCCAGCTATTAATTAACTCACTCCCGTTGGCATGGCACCGAGTACACTGTTTGTGTTTGGTTTGTACCTGTCTTTTTATACCGTCAGACACACGTT